ATATTGTTTTATTGGATTGGCGTGCACTGCCCAGAGTCGCTTCTTGTTTGATAAATTTGATAAATAAATGTACAAAAGTAAACATTCCTTTGAGTTAAGCTCAACTTCATGGCAGCAGTGCAGAAGCAGTTTGTCACTGCTTTTTTTCTGGGATGTGTTTTCGATTTCTCAATCTACTCAACAGCCATAGGATTTCCTCAAGGTCTCCAGTCCAAGTACTAACCAAGTCTAACCCTCCTTAGGCTTCCCAGATCAGCCAAGGTCAACCACCTGCTGAGATCATTGTAGCCCTTTCCTGACGCTCCCCACGTTTACTCAAAAACCAGTGCAAGACCTCAGCCTTACTCATTTCCTTTTAACAGCTTCTTTTTCTACCTTGCTTCCTTCTCAGCCCCTGTCATACCACAAGGTGTCCTTATTTTGGAGAAGAAAACAGATTAGATTACTATTTTGTATCTCAGGAGGAATTTGACAAGATGGTGAACACGGTAAGGAAGAAGCCAATCTTTTGCGGGGTAACGAAGGAGGACGTCTGCAGGTCCATCTCAGCTCACATTCAGAGCGGATAGCAGAAAGAGAAGTTTGGGGCTTCAGATATTGAAGAAACACAGGAAGTTGCCTTATTGTGAGTCCCTCTGCTCCACCAGCCCCCTTTGGCAGCATGGGTTGGCAACAGCTGGGAGGTTTCTGCACTCTGTCAGCAAATGCATGGAAGCCAAAGGACAACATCTGCCTTTGTTCCTTTTTATAGAAATAGTCTGGCTTGTAATCTCAGCAGATCTGGAGGGTGCCAGGATGGGAACGGTTGGTGCAGAGGCTTTCAATAAGCACTTTGTTTTCTTGATGTAGCAAAAGGTTTATAGCTAGGAGACATCCCAAGTACATTGTGCTAGAATCCAGGTGAGGCTTATTATGAATGTTCTTTCCTTTGCTGTTCACATCACCTGGGCTTCCTTTTTTTTGTTTTTTCCCCCTCATTTCAGGGAAAATTTATAGCCACTTTCAAATATAACAGCTTCTACTACGGACTGAGCCGAGACACCATTGAATCCATTGCTCGGGAGGGGCTGGCAACCTGTGTTCATTTAGAAATAGAGGTAGGAGGCCCCTTGGTTGCAGAAGCATTTTCAGTGCTACAGGATTTATGTAGTTCGATTTAAACTATGGTCTGATAAAATGGAAGCAGGAAGGCCTGGAGGAGAGACCAGGAAACCAGACAAGCTGAAGGTAAGAATTCTGTGGTGAAAAAAGACAAGAGAAGGGAACTATGGGGGAAAGATAGCAGGGGAGCTAGAAGACTCAGCAACCTCCCTTGAAGGTCCTTTGAACCTCCTCTTACGGGGATGGCTCACAGAAAATCCAGGCTTTTTAATGTGACTAAGCCACATAGTTTGGAGAACCCAAACCAAGCACCATTGGTCACATGACCTTACGGCTTTCCACATTGATTTGGATCATTGGGAATTATTCAGCAATTTGAAGCCCATAAAGTCCAACAAGCAGTGACAGCTGAACTTTCTCTCTCTCAAAGGGTGTCAGAAGCTTGAAGAATTCCTACTTTGAACCACGATACATTCTACTGATTCCAGTGAACAAAGAAAAATATGGGGGTCACCTGCGAAGGATGGGGTTATTCAGTAGACCAGAGATTGAGGAAGCTCTCCGTAGGGTGGACATGTATATCAAAGTGAATCAGGATTTCCCAGGCTTCTTCGATGCAGTCATCAGTGTAGGTTAGTCTGTTATTTTGGAAACTCAAGTCTCCCATACCAGAAGGATAATAATAAAATATTTGCTGGAAGAAAATGGAAGTGAAGCTTGGCTTGCCCAGCTAACAGGCCCATAGCCAGCATAGTATTCTCTACAGTATACTAAAGGGGGTAAGAGGAATTTTTCAGGACACAGCACCAACATCAAATTGATCTGAGTGGATGCTTTGAAGAAGTTGATGGATAAGACGTTGAAGCTCCTTTTGGTCAGACCCAAAAGTCTATCTCTGAAGGTCAACCATCCGTGTCCTGACAGTGTCCTTGCTCCAGGTTCTAGGAGGTTCCTATGCAGAAAATCATAATGCAGAAGGCTTTTAAGCAGGTTTCAGCAGAAACACTCAGCTCTCTACTCACACTGTTACCTAAAACCAGACTTCTTTCATCTCTAAATCCAACTGTGGTCCTTAGAAGCTACTCTGTTGGGGAGAGCTGGTGGCAAGGACAGTGTGACTTAATGGTTATTGTGTTGGACTGAGATCGTGAGGCCCAAACCTGGGTTCTTCTTGCCCTTCACCCTGACTTATTCCAGTGAGCTGATGGAGGTTGATCATTGAATTAAGGTTGTACCAAAATCAGTATCAGTTTAAATTTTATTGGAATAACAGGCTGGTGACAAAACATACAAAATCCACAAAAGCTTTTTGTGAAACGATTCATACGTTTAAAGCAGAATAATTTAATTAACAACGGTGTATTTGACTAAAAAGAGTAAATAAATGGTCAGACAGAAGCTAATCAAGGCATAAGCAATGGCAAAAATAATATTGATTCAAATCAGGGAAAAGTATATTCAGTTCCATTTTTTGATAGCCCCATTCCCAGTGTAAATATACTTAGGCAATTTAAATGTTGAAACGTCAAGGAAAATATTGACTCTTCCCCTCTGATGGGGGCTCGACATTTGTTGATAGTCTTTAGGTTCCGATAACAGTGCCAAGAATTTAGAGGAAATTTTGGGAGGGAAGGGAGGGAGGGAGAAGTAGAGAAGGAAGGGAGGAAGGAAGGCCAAGCACTAAAAGGAATTCAGCAGTATATTTCCAAGCTTCCAAGAATCTCCTCCTTTCGTCTCCATCAGCATTTTTATGAACTGCTGTATCTTTTGTAGTGACAGGGACATAGCATGTCACTATCTGGTTGGCCACTGAGCTTCTGACTTCATCTCCAAATTAACTGGCCTCCATTTTTTTTCTTCATTGGAATGTGTGCAATGGAACTGCATTCCCTTTGATCTGAGGCACCCGCCCACGCTCCGTGACACCTGCCCGCAGCACCCACCCATAGCTGTCATCTGTAGCTCTCACCTGCCGGCCTGCTTGCCTGGGATTCTTGCCTCTTCCCATGTCGCAGTTGTGTGGGGTCCTTGCTTCACAACCTGCACAGTCCTGGGGTTACAACGGCAACTGGGATTGCTGTCGCTAAGCTATGCGGTCACGTGACATTGCGCTTTATGACCTCATCACTTAGGTCCCAATTGCCGTCGTAACCCAGGGGCCTCTCCTCTCTGAATTCTGTAATCTGGTCCAGGAGGGCATTATCCAGACCTTCTGCTTGCTTGTTGATCTGTATCACACCCCCACAATAATATCTCTGTTGCTTCCCCTCCCTTGTATTCTCACCCCAAAATACTCATGGTTGGCCATTATGCTTCTGACATTACCCCCAAATTCCATAGGACACCATCTTCTTCTATTTTCATTTGCTATTGGTTGTAGCCTAGGACTTACCAGTTAAAACTGACACTACGTCGATGACTTATACATCCAAGACAAAACTAATTTATTGGCCTATTTTTTTTTTTAAATGGCTTTCTTGCACCTGGACTCTTTTACCAGTAACCAAATCAAATAATAAATTGGCCAATTCTAAATGTTCTGTACTTGGCACCCAAAGCTCCTGTATTGGATTGGCTGGATCAGAATCTACTTTTACCTGAAGTCTTAGAAATGTTTCTTGAAGGATAAAGATAAAAATAATTTTGTAATAAAATATGCCAAATAAGCAAATACAATAATTGACTAAGTTAATATATATTGATTCTCACTGGTACATTGCAAAGATTGTCACCGCTCATTCTAATTTTAAAAATTACTAAAGCTAGATTAAATCAAATATGGTTCTCTGTTCTATTAAAAATGAAAAAGGCATTTAGTGATAGCAATGTAAATTCCTAACATTATTGTTGCTATTTATTAGTATTATAAATTCCACCAAGTTCTATATTCCTCCATGGTCAGATGGTGGTGCTATTGACAAAGGCAGATTCCGTGGTTTTAATTGTTCATTTTAATTATGAAGAATTGCAGTGTGTTATTCTTACTTCTTTAAACACCAGGTAACTTTCTGTCATACAGAGTAACCCTGTGATTTCTTGCCCATCGAATCTTTCTATGAAGTTAAGTTACACACCAATTTCTGCCGAAGCTGTCTTTGATTCAACCCCTAATTCCAAACAATCCTTTTAGCCCAGAGGCATAATTTGATCCAGTTCTTCTTTCCAGTAGACCTGCTGCTTTTTTGCTATATTCTTAAAGCATGAGTTTGGTTTTAATTTCATTTGTTGTAGATCACAGTAAAAAGATAAAGCCTTCTTTGGCAGCTTCGTGGATGCACAATCCATGCAGTTTGCTTGGCAGTAATACAGAAGTGGATTGCCATCACCTTCTTGCAGGATTTTTTTTTTCAATTTCCTAATCTAGCCTCCAACCCTGGGGCTTCTTGGTAGACCCTCTTCCAAGTACTAGCCAGATCCAACTCTGCTTAGCTTCCCATGTTCCACCAAAGCTGGCTAGATGCTGCTACCCAAACTGGACAAAGGAAAAGACTTCTTCAAGTTGAGCTCAACTCCTGGTGACCGCAAGTCAGCCCTTTGAGGTAGGGAGGATCAGGAAACAGACCAGCAGAATTTCAGAAATGGTTTTTATTACTATGGGGTAGAAAAACACTCTCTTGAAAGCCTTTTCTACCACATCTTATACCAAACAAAATCAAGGCAAGACTATTTTGAGTTTCTTTCTTGCAGTTTCCTTTTTCCCTGAGTAATCTTTTCTTCTCCATTAAGAGTTCCTTGCTCCTTTCCCCTTTGCAATATCCTTTCACGCTTCACGGATTATGCAATCCTGTAGTTTCTTGCAGTAGTGTGGAAGAGGTTTGCCATTGTCGTCTTCTGGGAGTTGTTGACTTCTCAACCAAACCCACAGGCCTGGCATTCCCTGATAGTCTCCCAACCCTGCTTGTTTGTCTCACCTCCCTTATTCATAGCATCAGCACATGTTCCGGAACCAAGATGATTCAACTGACGTCCATTGGGTGACCCTGAGCTCATCTAATGGGTCACTCAGCCTACCCTACTTTTCAGGCTTTCTCTGAGTTAAATGGGATAAAAATGTAGTATTTAAAGAATACTGGGAGGACGCGGGAATTAGTATAAGAAGGATTAGAGGATACCTTGTGTCGCTATGCATGGCAATGTGTGTGTGTGTATGTGTGTGTGTGTGAGAGAGAGAGAGAGAGTATATATATGTCCTATCTCCTGAAATGTCTTTGTTCACAAGATTGAGCATGCTTTTTCCTGTGAACTTGAAGAGAGGGGCGGGGGGGTGCAGGAAGAAGACCATATAGAATTTTAATTCTGACACATTTAGTAGACAAGTAAATTCTGCTTGAGATCTCTCTGGATCAGATCAAAGGTATGCTGTGTCTGCAGGAATAAAGAGATGCAGCTGGGAAGTCCACAAGCAGGAAAGGAGAACCAAGCCTCTCCAGCATTTAAGCTGGCAGCCCTCGCTGTATTTTTTTGCAGCAAATCCCATGACTTAACTACACAGCAGTTAGGGTTGTGTGAATCTCCTTCTGCAAGTAATTTGATGCATTTGATAATTAACTGGCAAGTAATTGATAAGTGAGCAAATACGCATTAAGAGGATGATCTGGGCTGTTAGTGGCTGCGGCTATCCCACCCTTTACCAAAACTCTTCTCTTCTTCCCCAAACACATCTCCCTACACCTCCAGATGATTATGATGAAGCATTCAGAAAACTGAACCACCTTCTGGAGGAGTTCCTGGGGTTGACGCAGCCTTCAGAACCCAAAGACGTGGTTCCTGCATTGGAGGGCAACCACCTTTCAGGTATTGAGCAAGGCACTCAAGCTTGCAGCCATATAATTTCTTGAAAGTAGAAAGTCTCATGAGTAGCTTTCTGCTGATCCCTGCACTAATTGGGTTTGCCACTGGTTTGGCTTTGAAACTGGGTGGGTGGGGAGAGCATTAAGACTATATTGCAAATATTCAATATATATGTGGAGTCCTTGGTGTTCTCTGAGCTTGGTTGTTTTCTTGCAGACCTTTTGTTACCCAGCTAAGTAAGATCCTCACTGTATGTTGTAGGTGACTCCTGTTTTTTCTTCCTGGGCTACTGGGTCTTTTGGTTTACTTAAGATGTTTTGGAGGGCTTTAGT